TCCGGTCACCTACTATGTACTCGAACGTGTATATGTAAGTTAAGGCGAAGTTCGAAATACGGCTCATTCGCGAATTTGCTTGTTATTGTGCACGTTAGCCAGTCCATTCGAATAAATGTGTATAAATGACTATGAACGTATCATTTCAGACTTCGGATAATGTGGATGGCAAAAGTAAGGAGGTTGCCGAGTGTGAGGCTTTTTGTGTGTTCGCAAGAAATATTTTGGCAAAAAATGCGTTGGAAAGTATTCGTTGCGCAGGCTTGAGGTTGTTATGTAAATCGCGAGGGCCGGCGCCTTGTCGTTCAACTCGGAAATGGATATCAAAGCGTTTACTGTGGAATATAGTGAAGTTATGTTGATAGTTTCGTGTAAATAGAAATTTACGACTGATACAGTGGAACTAGAAACTACACATACCACATATTGCGCTTTGAATCAGCATTGTTTTATACTTGGTATGAAAAAATTGCTATACTGTTATATAGTACACTGTGATATTGTAGTATTTGTTACGACTGCTTACTGAATTATTTAATGTACTGCCTACTACGTTTTGGAAAACAATTTTTTGTGGGTTTTTTCAACGGCTGTTTTGCTGTAAAAGGCATTATTTTCATTATTACTTATTATTATTGTTATTATATTTATTGTGAAAACTACACACGAAAACATTTCATTTCTCCTCACTCAAACTTTCATAATGAAGGGATTGAACGAATGAGGGAATGCAATACCGAGCTTCGTGCTGGAGCTAAAATAGAAGGTTCAGGCATATCTATTACATTGCTTACTCAAAAGAAGAGTAAAACATGTGGGATTCAAAAAATTCCTTTCTCAGAATTGGAAATAACACATCAAACGTTGGAAGAATGGAAGTCTGAACGAAGCATTCTCCTTCAAAAGAATGATAAATGAAAGGGAAAGTACCTCATATTTTCTTTTGAAACGAAATTCAGAAAATGGAAGACTGTGAGTGCAGAGACACGTCTTGACTACTTGAAGAAGAAGAAGAAGAAGAAGAAGAAGAAGAAGAAGAAGAAGAAGAAGAAGAAGAAGAAGA